TTTGGTAGATGATTATTTGGTTTCAGTCTGGGGTTCAGAGATGAATGGGCTTCTCCTCATGCCTTTCCTGCAGGGCAAGGCCATGGGGTGAATGACCTCTTCAGGAGCCACTCCTAGACCGAGAGGGGTCCAGGGGGAGGGGTCCAGAGCGGGGGCTAGCACAAAGCTTCAGCACTTGATTGAAGATTCTCTTGGGAGGAGGATCTAGCCAGAAGAGCCTGCTTGACACTATGAGCTAGTTGGAGGCCTGGAAAGGATCTGGAGGGGTTCAGGGTGATGTCTAAGCTAGAAGTCAGCAACTGTAAGATCGTTGTAAAATTACTCAAAACGTCACATTCCTGGGGTTGTTATTTTTGTTATCCCTTCTGTTTTACATTGTAGCAATTGCCAGTAAAACCTTTCTAAGGAAAAGTTCCCATGAGTTGGTTTAGGGGTAAAGGGAAACTTTCTCTGCTTATAACACTTTTGACACCGAATGTGTGGCTTTTTTCCCCCCCACCAACCAATTTTCCAACTCTCTGGACACCAACTGGGTGTCCTATAATTTAATTCATTTCTGACATGAACTAGCTGGAATTAGCATCAAACTACACAGGTTTAAGGGCTCAGTCCTATAAGACTGCCCTCACTTCCAACACCGGTCACAAGTAATGGGTCCCCAAGGTACTTACACTTCCGACTGACTTAGATACAAAGTTGAAGGTTCCCACAATCCCCCTTCAGGTTTGATAATTTGTTGGAATGGCTCACAAAACTCAAGGAAACCTTTATTTATGTTTACTCGTTTATCATAAAGGATATGGTAAAGGATACAGATGAACAGCCAGATGAAGAGGTATGTAGGGTGAGGTCTGGAATGGTCCTGAGCACAAGAGCTTCTGTGCCCGTGGAGTTGGAGTGTACCACCCTCCCCGCACGTAGATGTGTTCACCAACCCGAACTGTGTAGTTTAGGGATTTTTATGGAGGCTTCCTCACGTAGGCATGATCAATTATTAACTCAACCTCCAGCCCTTCGTCCCTCCCTGGAGGATGGTGGATGGGGCTGAAAATTCCAAGCTTCTAATCATGGCTTGGTCTTTCTGGTGACCAGCCCCCATCCAGGAGCCATCCAGGAGCCCACCCAGAGTCACCTCATCAGAACAAGACACTCCTATCACCCAGGAAATTCCAAGGGTTTTAGGAGCTCTGTGTCAGGAACCAGGATCAAAGGGCAAATATTAGAACAAAAGATGCTCCTAGCACCGCTATCACTCAGGAGATTACAAGGGTTTTAGGGGCTCTGTGTCAGGAACTGGGCATAGAGACCAATCTGTATTTTTTATTATGTAGCAGCAAATAAAAGAGGAAGGAGAGAAGACTGGGTCCCACCTTGCAGCCGGGTGGAGGCTCAGGAGAGCTCCAGGTTGGGTAAGCGGGTAGCAACTCCCACCAAAGCTGTCTGGAGGAAAAACCGCCTGTATTTTTAAGCGTTTTGGAGAAGGAAGGAGCGGTTTCTTAACCTCGCTGGCCTTTGAAGAGAGGCAGGAACAATTTGCTTTGTAATCCATCCTCAGGAGAGGAATGCATTCTTGCTCCAGTAGAGAAATAGCCTCAATAATTGCAAAAAGGACTTGACTCCCTGGGCCGTGCTCCCCTGGCCAGCAAGCTCTGGCTGGTCCCCAGCAGGCTGAGCTGGCAGGGCCAACGGCAGCGTGTGTGACCCCAAGAGTGTTTCTGTGACTTCCTGGCTTGCGCCCAGCACTGTTGGGTGAGTCAGCCCTGAAGCCTGCAATCCTAGCAACAAATCCCAGAAGAGCCCCACGTCTCCCTTCCCGCTCTCCAGATGCCAGTGCAACACCCCCCAGCCCACGGGAGCCATGAGAGGATTGCAATGACATGTCCACTGCTCCTAATCCTGGGGCTCTGAGGAAGGAGAGGGCAGCGGTTGCAGACCCTGCACAGCACCAGAAATTCAGCTGTCACCCTTTCTCTCCCACCCCAGGCCCTCCCCGCCCTGCCCCCTTGGTGCTCAACTGGGAAGTCCTTCCATTGTTTGTTCTCCTGTGCTGTGGTCAATAACGTAAATCACATTCCGAGCACTGGCCAGAATGTTGTTGAGGGAGATAAGAGTTCCTGGCTTCCAGAGGCATTCCAAAGAAGAGACAGAACTATTTGTTTCCACAGGAGAGCAATTTTGGCAGAAAGGGGAAGATAGAGGGAGAGGAAGAGAGAAGAGAATCTCTTTATGAAAAATTGGATTTGGGAAAATGGTGAAAATATTGTCGTGGTGAATGGTTGGAGGTTGATGAGATTTCAGCCACATCCCTGAGTTGCTCCAAACAGTCCCCTTCTACCCACCCCCTCTCCCCTGTCCCCATCTAGGCCACAATCCCAGACAGTATACATAAGAGTTTAGGCCACTGCTGTCTCGTCCTCCTGACCAACTGGCCAGATGACCTCATGGGACTAGGATTCTGGTCTCAGCAGGCAGGACGCATCACCTGTTCCATGGGTAATCTAGCAGGTACTCCTGATGTGGTAGTATTGGTGTTGAGGATTTTGAGGAAAGAGCCTTTGGGAGGCCTAAGGAAATGTATTCAGGAAGATGACATGACCTCTTCAAGAACCCTCTTTAGACTGAGTCTGCAGTGCCAAGAGAACCTGGCCCCAGGCGGCAGTTACTGGCAGCACCCAGTGCAGGGCTTGGGTTCAGTCCACCATCAGTGAGTACTTCCAAGATGGAGGCTTCCCTGGGTCTGTGCATCAGACCAAGAGGGATGATGGAGCTCACCTTCTCTGCAACTGCGAGGACCTCTCTCCCTGTGGCACTGTTCTAATCTGCAAACATGATCCCATTTGGTCTTCACAACTACCCTCTGAGGGTTGGTCAATCCAGCCTTACAGATGCTGAAACCAGGGTTTCAAAATGTGAAGTGACTTGCGCAAAGTTCCCCGGGTGAGTGGCAGAGCCAGGATTCAAGCTCAAGTTTGCTTTCTTCCAGAACTAGGCTCTTCACTACCTCGCTGTACTTTGGGAGGCCTTGTCAGGCTCTTGATAAGGCTGGGAGACAATGATCTGTTCCTCTCCTTTGCCCTGAAATATCTCTTGGAGTGACTTAAGAGCATGTTCTCGAGGCAATGTTTTGTGGTTTCCAAAGGACCTGTTAACGCGACCCAATCTTGCCCTCGACTCCTATACTCTCTCCTAGTAGGAAATGTCTTCACTTGATTGCTTGCTTGGTCTGTTTCCCAGGTTTTTAGGCCCAGCATTTGGCTCTTGGAACCACCCTGCCACCAAAGGAAACTAGCGTTCAGAGAGGCTCCAGAAACCTGGAGTGGTCTGAGTGACATTGAGTGTCAAAGGGGCAGAAAAGAATGAGAAGTGAGGAAAACGCTGGCAGTGGAGTCCAGCAACCACCGTGGCTCTGTATTTTCCCTGGAAACCTACAGAAGATTTTTTTCCTTTCCTTTCCTTAAAATAATTATTAAATATTTAAAACATACAGAAGGAACAAAGAATAGTAAAATAAATAATAAAAAGGAATAATAAAAATAAGTAAATAAATAAAATAAAGCCTAGGTACTAATTGCCCTGTGTAAGAAATAAAACCACCAGTAGCATTGAAGCCCTCCTGCATGCCTCCTCCTGCGTGGCCCTCCCTATTCTGTCAGGGTTAACCATTATCTTGAATTTGGTGTTTATCATCCACAGCTCTTCCTTTCTTCTTTCACGACGTATATCTGTATCCCTAAATAATGTATAGTTTGCTTTGCATGCTTCTCAACTTCTCAATATGCACGCATATTACCTGTGTTCTTCTGCAACTTAATTACTTTGCTTAACGTTATGTCTATGGGAGTCATTCTTATGGTTACATGTAGTTCTAATTCACTTGTTATTCAGTCTGGTGTATTATTTCATTATATGAATATGAATGATGGACATTTAGGTTGTTTCCAGAATTTTGCTAATATAAACAATTCTGCTGTGAAAATTCTTGTTCATGTTTTCCAGTGCATGTATTATATGAGAGCTTTTAGAGGTGGAATTTCTGGACCACAGGGTGTGTGCATCTCCAACTTGATTATGAGCTATTTCCAAATTGTTCTCCAAAGTGGTTTTACCATGCCCAGAGTTTTGCCAAGTTGCCTTTCTTTTTTCAGGGGTTGCCTTCTCCACCAACTGGTGTAGCTTCCTGACTCACCTTACCGTTGGGTAGGATTCACATTTCCCCACTTTCTCTCTCTCTCTCACTATCAGCCAGGATTCCAGCAGGAAATAGATGGCATGCTCAAATTAGGATAATTGAAGGAGAGAGTTGAATAAAGAACAGTTTACAAAGGTGTGGGCAGTGGGGAGGGAAACCCCAAGAGCTAGCATGGCAGCCCCGGCCTGAAGGGTGAGGGGAGAAAGGTTATGAGGACCAGAGTCAGAGAGGTCTACGTAGATAGGGCTGCCAGACAGGAGCTGAGACTTTGGATTGGAGGGCACAGCTTCAGTTGCTCTATTTGTAAAAGGGGAAATAACAATACTTATCTCCTTCAACTATTGTGTGAACTCAGTGGGCTGATGTGTGTAGCACAGAGCCTGGCACGTGGGAAGTGCTCACTAAATGCTGACTGGTTACTACTCGAAACCAGGAGTAAGTTACATAGGCTCAAGAATTCTTAAAGAATTTTCATAGTTGTTATTTCCCAATCTGAGTTAAAATATAAGCGGGCTAAGGTTATTCTTCTCATAGTTGTTTCCCTGACATTTTAAAAATAGGAAGTGTGGTATCTCCATTTTTCATACTTTTCTGGGACTCTGCCGACTGCCTTTTATCTGACTCCTCAGGAGTTATTATGGTTCCTGCTTCCTGGAGATTGCAGAACTGTTTTTGGGAGATGAATTTCCAAGACTTTAGAGACTAAATTTCTCATTCTTTTTCCAAATTTTTATTATGAAACATATCAGACATACAAAACTGGAAAGAATAGAGTAATGGGCACTCATATATCCTTTACTCAGAGTCTATAATTATTATTTTACTGTACTTGCTTCATCTTTTTCATGAACAGACTTTTTTTTTGTCAAACCATTGGAAGTTGTGTCCTGATATTTCACCCCTAAGTGCTTCAGCATGCATTTCCTAAGAATAAAGACAGTCTTCTACACAAGCATGATACCATTATCACACCTAAGAAAATTAACAATTCCACGATAGCATCAGACATCCAGCCTACATTCAAATGTCCCCAGTTGTTCCAAGAATGTCATTTATAGAATCCAATCAAGGTTCTCACAGTGAGTTTCACTCTTTGATTGTTTCTGCATGGTGCCTTTTGACTTATCCCACTTCCCCCTGTATTTTTGTGTGGCTCTCGTGTTGTGTCATGTCTGGAGGCTCATAGTGCCAGGTGTCCCACTGGTAGTGAGCCTGTGGGATTGCTTGGTTTCCCTGACTCTTTGTTAGATGGCCTTGAGGAAATGTGTGCTTTCTTTCTGCCACTCTTTCCTTCATGGAGTGGAATTCAGCCAGCCCTCTTCCCTCCGGTGTCCCTGCTCTTCGACCGAACGTCCAGGTCCCTTTCTTCGTGATCTTAAACTCCCCAAAGACACTATTAGGGTAAAATAAAGGTGTTTTTATTTTTTCTTTTTGCTGAGGAAGATATGCCCTGAGCTAACACCTGTGCCAATCTTCCTCTATTTTATATGTGGGTTGCTGCCACAGTGTGGACACTGATGAGTGGTGTAGGTCCATGCCCAGGAACTGAACCCAGGGACGCCAAAGCAGAGTGCACCGAACTTAACTACTAGGCCACTGGGCTGGTCCCTAAAGGTGTGTTTCTATTCCTACAAAAGGCCTTTTGTATGTCTTCAGTTTTAAGTGGGTCATTTGAATTCAGTGATTCATTCATTTATTCCACAAATATATGCATATCTACCAGGTTATTAGGCACTAAGAATATCAAGAATATTCCCATCTCTGCTTCCTTGGCTGCTTCTGTGCCAGATTCCTCTTCTCACCTTGGTTGTTCCTGCTCAGTTTCCCTCATGAGATCCTCTTCCTCCTTTGGCCCATCAATGCTGGTGCTCCTTGCAGCCCACTGTTCAGGTCACTCCACACAGTTTCCCTGGGGATCACGTGGTCTCCCATTGTTGGAGTTAAAACCAACGTATCGAAGGCTTCTGAATCTGCATAGCTAAATCTCTCTTGGACCTGTGCTCACCCAACTCTTCCCTGGCAGGGACCCCCACATCTCATCATTCATCTACTCACATGACTGATTCCACCTCCTGAATGTCTTCAAAATCAGTCCCCTCTGTTCTTTTCTACTGCTGCTGCCTTCATGCACGCCAGCACCCCGTCTCGTGTGGAGTATGTCTCCAGCCTATCCCTGTCCTCTCTGGTTCCAGATTCATCCTCTCTCAGTCCTTCCTCCAGGAATGACTTTCAGGCTTGGTAGTAGATGGCCCATTTTGTGCTCTCCTGGCACCCTCTCTATCCTTCTGACATTGCACTAATTGTTTGTCTGTCTCTTCAGTTATACTCCAAGGACCTTAAGGGTAGGCCTTAATTGACCTTGCACTTAGTAAGTGCTTGGCACACAGGGATAATATAATAATAATAGCCATCACTTAGCATTAGCTGTATACCAGCATTATGTTAGGGGCTTTACTTATGCTATTGCATTTATTCTTCATAACAATATCATGAATTACATTAAATTATTGCGCCCTTTTGTGTATGAGGAAGCTGAGGGCCAAAGATGTTAAAGACTTGGTATATGTTCTCCCAACTTGCAAGGGGCGGAATCAGGACTCTATACTCCGTATTTATTGAACGAGTTATGGAATGAAAGCGCTTGTCTTGGTTCTCGAGGCTCACATTTTATTGAGGGGACAGGCGTAAGCAAATGATCGTGATGCAGCATGAGAAGGGCTGTAGTAGAGGTATCTATATAGATCTATGGGATTATAGAAGAGGCAACTGCAGTAATAGCTCTCAGTGGATCTGGGAACACCTCCCAGAGGAAAGGATGCTGGAGCTGGGTCTTGAAGCACGAAGAGAATTCGTGAGTAGGTAAGGAGGGAAGGCGTTGCTCACAGTGGGGTCAGCACATGCAATGGCATGGGAGCTTTAGGAACGGAAACAGCTTGATATAGCTGGACTATAGAACGTATGGGACAGAGTGGTGGGAGACGAGGTTGGAGGGTTGGGCTGGAGCCTCATCACGAAAGGCCTTCTATGCTATGTTAAGGAATTTGTGCTTTGTTTGGTGGGCAATAGAGAGCCATGGAAGGATTTTAAATTGGATTTTTAAATCAGATCAGATTTTAATCAGCTCACAACTCTGGTGAGCTTGTAGTAAGCATGGATTAGGATAGGAAAAGACTGTTGGCAGAAAGGTCAAGGAAGAGGCTCCTGCAGTAATCCAGATTTAAGACCGCAAAAGCCTGGACTAGGGCAGCGTGAGTGGATCAGAGAAGATGACATGAATTCTAGAAATATATAGGGTTAAATGTGAGCCAGTCTTGATAACTAACTGTGTACAGGGCATGACAATGAAAGAAGCGTCTGAGGGAACTGCAGATGAATGTTTTTCCTCTCACTGCCTTCCTTGCTTTACAAAGGAAGTATAAAATTAGGTCATTCCTTGACACATGGATATGACCACGGAACAAGGGAAGAGGAAAGCAGATATTTTTGATCTCCTCTCTGGATTATGTTTCTGAACTATACTACTGCCAGGAGTCAGGGGATGGAATGACTGATACGTTCTTTTCTCCTGCTGCTCCTTACTTCCTACCGCACCTCCTTTCTGACTGCCTTAGTTCCCAGCGTAACGTCCCCCTACCTAGAATTGCACTATTCTGCGGTTAGCTTGGCACCCAGAAAGCACACAAGGAGACATGAACGATTGAAGGGAAAAGGATAGAGAGATCAGAGGAAAAGACAGGGAGATAGTCCACATATGTTAGAGTGAAAGCAACTGTATGGTATTTCAAATGTATTTCAGCATAGGCCATATAAACAGATTTATTTTTTAATATCCCCCCTGTATCTTTCAATTAACCATACATTGTGCATAATATATTTCAATACACACATCTCAGGATGGGAATAGCAGAAACATATGTTAACAGAGTTATATTAACTCTAGGGACAGTACCACTGGGTTACGAGATATTATGGCTCCATATGTTATCCATAAAGAATCCTGTGGCTTTAATGTGTAACACACTCTGTTTTGGAGTCAGGCTGAGAAAAATGAGGATCTCCTGAATAAGAAACTTTATGTACTGTATCTGAGCAAGAAAACCTTCTTAAAGCAACTTGGGTAAATCTCCCTGCTGCCCAGTCTCTACCTGAAATGGTGATTCCAATGGTTTAGGCCACTGCTATTTTCTCCCCACATGTGTAAAGTTTGACACATAGAGATTGCCTTTGAGATAATTAGATAAATACCTAATTGCTTAATGGGAAAGTGTCTCCTAGTTCCCATGAGTCCAGGGCACTATGTGTTGGTAAGTCACTTTGCTCTTATTTCTTCAAAAGCCACCCATTTATACATGGTTCCAGTGGCCTGGACGATCGTGGCCCTAGGAGTCAGGACACCTAAACTTCTGACTAGGCTCTGATACCACTGGGCCCAGTGACTTCATGCAAATGACTTATCTTCTCTTGGTGTCCATTTCCTCATTTGTTAGATGAGGCATTGGACTTGATTGTTAATTACATGTTCTCTTTTAAGCTCTAAGATTCATCAATTCCATAAATTGAAAATCTCAGCTCCCAGGGGATTTTCAAAAGCTTTTGTCTGTCACTTCTTCTGAAACAAAAGGCGACGTATCTTTTTGGCTTTATACTTTGGAAATTTTCATGCTTCTCTACTCCTTTTGGAAGTTTCCCCCCAAAGCATGCCTACCAGCTCTTATACTCGTAGGTAGCCCTCGGAAGGAGAATAAATATTTGAGAAATCTCAGTACATAGGTTTGCTGCTGCCTCTGGGATTTCCTTAGTATTTCTTGACTTTTAAAATAGTTTTAGGTGTCAAGGACCAGGAAAGTGATACTTAAATATTTCTATTTCTTCCCTGGCCTTATCATGTCCATACCTAGACACCAAAATCCGTTTTGAACTCTGCACTGCCCCCCAGTGGGTAGCTCTCATCACTGCATTCTCTTTGTACTGGGCCTTGAGGAAAGAAACCTGGATACCTTTTCGAATGTAGGATGGTAATAAGGCTGCTTCTGCGAATAATGGAGGGTTTTCTATATCCTACCCCGGAACTGTTAAGTCTTTATATGTTGCATATATTATTTGTGTTTATAGGTTATGAGTATTTATATTTACGTGTTGTCTGTTCTCATAGCAGCTCGATGAAGTAGTTTCTCTTATTATTCCCATTTTGCAGATTAGAAAACTGACATTGGTAAGTGACACGTAGTTTGGTGGGGTTTAGGGTAGAAACAGTGAGAATGGTTCCTCCTGGGCCTCTGATCTCACAGAAATTCTCAACAGCCAAGTTTCTGTCTCAACTGCTGTCTCATGTATCATAAGAGAATGGATTTACTGTTGGACAATGTTTTCAGTTCAGTCCAATAACTACTTATTGCAGTGTGTGCTTGCAGCTGTGGAGCATAAGCAAGAAGCCCAAGAAATAGTCCTCGCCCTTAAAGAAACTATAGTCCAGTTCAGGGGTTGTGCATATACTTAGAAAATAAATAAATCACGTGGAGTAGTCCAGAAAATTTCATAGAGGAAAAGGAGTTGAAATGGCTGGGGAAAGCACAGGTCGGATTTGGAGGCTGGAGAAGCTGGATAGGAGATGGCCAGATATGGATGGGTTGGAAGGTAATCTCTTTGAGGTGGTCACTGTGTCCTTCCCTGTTCTTTCTTTCCTCTTCTCCCTTTTTAAGAGTTATCATGTTCTCACTAAAATCCAGGAAAATGGAATATGAGACATAGGATCTGCACTCAGAGTGCTCACAGTCTAATGGAGAGACTGTCTAGTTAACGTGAGCAAGGGCACCAGGCAGGGAAAGCCAAGACCTCTTTGCAGGGTGCTGAGAAGCTGGCTCACAGCAGAGGCCTGTGCAGAAAGGTGTGGTGGGCAGGAGTGGATAAGAACCAGGCTGCAGAGGGCTTGAATCCCTGCCCAGAAAGTGGGGCTTTGTGCTGAGCCATAGCAATAAGGAGTCTGGTTTCTAAACAGGGGAATAGCATTCTGAAATCACATGATATTGACTTTTTTTAAGTCAAAGGAATGAGGAGAGGAGAGAAGAAAATAGACTCACATACTTTGTGCCAGAAGTGAGTGTCCGCGTTACTGTGTCGAGCTCTTTGAAACCAGCTGTGGAGAGTTCTCCAGCCTTGCTCCATTGCTGCCTGTCTCCACCCAGCTACTCTCGGAGGGATTTAGCAACGACAACTGGGTTCACCATTGGGGTTGCATTGCTTCCTAGGTCATTTAGTATGGTCTCTTAAATTGAAGTAATTGCTTGGGGAACTCAAGACATAAAGAGCCCCACACTGAAGCTAGAGACAGAACAGTCCCCTTGACTTCTATGAGGCTGAGGGGTTCTGTCATTTTCTGGAGTTAAACATGTGACTGACTCTTTTTTCTCTCTCTTTTTAGCTCCCTCTCCATGAAAAAGGTAAAATGCAATCCAAAAAATGAAACAGGCAGCATAAAAGGGAGAGCAAGAGGCCAATTTAGTACAGAGAAAGAACTGTGATGAATTTTTTAACAAACTATACGCATGCAAAACTCAAAGCCCCCGGGTAATGTATACTGACTTATAAAGTATGCTTCTTATTTGACGTGAGAACTCTTCTTTGATGAATCTAAACTATAGAAACACTCACTCATAAATGTGCAAGAATTACCTAGGAATGTTCATTACAGCATTATTTGCAATTGACAAGGAAGAAAGAAGAAAGAAAGAAGGAAAGAAAATAACGAAGGTAGGCAGGGTGGCAGGCGGGCGGGCCTGAGATTCCTATCAAGAAGGGAACAATTTAAATCAATGATGGTACATTTATAAAGTGGAATTCTATATGGCAGTTAAAAAGAAATGTGGTAAAGCTGTGTATTAGTGTTCTGGGGCTGCCATAACAAGTACCACAGACTGGATGCCTTAAGCAATTCTCTCATAGCTCTGGAGGCTAGAAGTCCAAGATTAAGGTGTCAGCCGGTTTGGTTTCTTCTGAGGCCTTTCTCCTTGGCTTACAGCTGTCTTCTCCCCTTATCTTCACAGGGTCTGCCCTCTGTACATGTCTGCATCCTATTCTCTTTTTTGTATAAGGACACCAGTTGTATTGGATTAGAGATCCCAGTGACCTCATTTTAACTTAATTACCTCTTTAAAGTTCGTATCTCTAAATATAGTCACATTCTGAGGTACTAGCTATTAGGACTTCAAAATACGACTTTTGGGGGAACACAATTCAGTCCACAGCAAGCTACACATACTCATATGGAAAGGTGTCTAGAATTGTTAAAAATAAATAAATTGAGATCAGTATATTATAATAAGATGATACTATTTTGAAAACAAATAGTATATATGTAACACATATGTATACCAAAAAACATTTGGAAGGATGTATGTCAAACATGTAACAGTGGAAACTAGTGAGGAAGAGGTGGACATTGTGGTGAAGGGGATGTGGCTGTGTAGGAATGGATTATGGGAAATTATTTCCCATTGATCTATGGTCTGAATTTCATTTTTAATACATTTTATTGTTGATCTTAGCTTAGTGATAAATAGCACGGGACCTGAAGTTGGACTGTTTGACTCACGATTTGAGTACTGGCTCAGATCCTGTCTTTGCCCCCCTGTAACTGCTTCTCTAAACCTCTGGAGTGTCATTTGTAATGGGGAAAATAATAAGATTTTTATGACAGTTACATTAGATAATGAATATAAAATGTTAGGCACAGTGCTTGGCACCTACTCAGACCAATGAATATTGACTATTTCTATTACTGTGGTAATAAAAAAAGCTCTCACTTGCAATTGGAGTAAAGAAGTGTATTCTTAATCCCAGAGTGTTGTTAATTGAATCTGGTTCAATTGAACAAATAATTAAGTACACCATGTATGCAAGGTGCCCTGCTAAAGTCTGCAGAGGAATAAAGATAGTCAGGTCTAAGCCTGCCTGTAAATAACCTAACTGTAGGCAGACATGTCTTCGTCTACAAAATAACCCTAACTCACAGGAGCCTTGTGACTGTCTAAGAAGGAAATACCTATAAAGCACTTAGTAAGAATTCAATATATGACAATAATTGTTGTTGTTATTATTTTCCTCTCTTTGTAGCAAAATCTACTTGGAAAATTAAATCTAGAAGGCACTTCAGGAAGGATAGATTTTTTTTTTTTTTTAAAGATTTTATTTATTTATTTTTTCCCCCCAAAACCCCAGTAGATAGCTGTGTGTCATAGCTGCACATCCTTCTAGTTGCTGCATGTGGGACGCGGTCTCAGCATGGCCGGAGAAGCGGTGCATGGGTGCGAGCCCGGGATCCGAACCCGGGTCGCCAGCAGTGGAGCGCGCTCACTTAACCATCAAGCCACGGGGCCGGCCCAGGAAGGATAGATTTAAGAAAAATTACTTAAGGGAAGTGTCACCAAACTGTGCATGTTCCGGCTCATTCCATACATCTCTAGAAGCAGATAGGAATACCTGTGATGGCTGCTCAGGGTGTTGTCTCCCCATCATGGGGTTGGGCGGGGAGGTGGAGGAGGAAATCTGACAAATTTCCTTTCCAATGTTCCTTTTTGGTCACCAAAAGCTTCTTTAAATATGGCTGCACCACAGAGACAAGTTACAGCTTCTTAAATCACTGTCTAACCTAAGAGATTGGCTTCTTTTTGACATTTCCTCCATGTAGAACGGATTATTTCTGAAAGGTTCTTGCAGATTCTTGTCCCTTGCCCTTGTGTTTTGGAATACAGTTTTGTTTGTGATCCCCTGTTAGCCAGTCCTTGATCAAGTACATTGTGGTCATTATCAGTTCGTAGTGACAGTGGGAACACGAGGGTGTGGATGATCTTGGCCTTGGTCTCTAATGACACTTCCTTACACTTGATTGTCTTTCCTAATATTTTCATTGCTGCCCTTCCAAGTCTCACTCTTCTTTTTATTTCTTGGCTGCAGTCTCCATTTAAATTGATGACTGAATCAAGTAAATGACATCTTTGACAATTTCAATGTCTTCATTATCTATGTTAAAGTTGTGTAGTTCTTCTGTAGTCATGATTTTTGTCTTCTTGATGTTCAAATGCAGTCCTATTTTGCCACTTTCTTCTTTTACTTTCCTCAGAAGTCATTTCAAGTCATTGCTGCTTTCTGCCAGTAAGATGGTGTCATCTGCATATCTTAGATTATTGATATTTCTTCCACCAATTTTCACTCCTCCTTCATCTGAGTCTAGCCCAGTTTTTCATATGATAGGTTCTGCATACAGATTAAAAAGATAGGGAGATCAAATGCACCCTTGTCTGACACCTTTGCCTATAGGAAACCATTCTTTCCATATTCTGTCCTGACAGTGGCTTCTGGTCCACGATACAGGTTACCCCTCAGGACAATCAAGTGCTGAGGCACACCTATCTTTTTCAGAGCAGCCCATAGCTTTTCAGGATCCACACAGTCAAAGGCTTTATTGTAGTCTACAGAACATAGATTAACCTTCTTCTGAAATTCTCTGGAAAGCTCCAGTAGCCAACGAATAATCGCAATTACACCTTGTGTGCCTCTCCCTTTTAGAAATCCAGCTTGGACATCAGGCATTTCTTGCTCCATATGAGGTCAAAGCCTTTGCTGCAGCACCTTGAGCATCATGTTACGTGCATGGGAAATTAGAGCAGTGGTCCTGTAGTTACCGCGCTCCTTGGCACCTCCTTTCTTGGGGAGTGGGATGTATATTGAGCATTTCCAATCTGTAGGCCATTGTTTGGTTCTTTATATTTGTTGGCATATTCTTGTTAGGATTTTGCCAGGTTCAGTCTCTGTGGCTTAAAATAATTCTATCAATATCCCATCTACCACTGGTGACTTATTTCTTCCCAATACTTTCAGGGCAGCTTTCACTTCACTTTCTAAAATTACAGATTCTTCTTCACAGGAATCTTCTTCATAGGATTCTGTCATCCTTTTGTCTCTTCTGTATAGACCTTCAGTATACTGTTTCCATCTTCCATTTATTATCTCCTGATCAGATAGTGTGCTTCCCTGTTGGTCATTGAGCATTCCTAATCCAGGTTTAAATTTCCATTTCCCAGTGACTGTGTGTGGGTGTGAAAGCTGACAGTGAAGAAGGCTGACAGGGAAAAAATGGATTCACCTGAAATATGGTGTTGGCGGAGAGCTCTGTGGATACACTGGACTGCCAGAAAGACAAACAAGTGGGTCCTAGAGCAAATTAAGCCTGAACTATCGCTGGAGGCAAAAATGATAAAACTGAGGCTGTCCTACATCATGAGAAGTCAGGATTCTTTGGAAAAGACACTAATGTTGGGAAAAGTAGAAGACCACAGGAAAAGAGGAAAACCAAATGTGAAACGGATTGACTCCGTCTCCAGATGGAAACCATAGGCATGAATCTGCAGGAGTTGAGCAGGGCTGTTGAGGACAGGACATTGTGGACATCACTCATTCACAGTGTCGCCGGGAGTTGGAGCCAACTTGACAGAACGTAACAACAAAGTGATGGTGATATTCTGGCACTGGGGCTTGGCTCTCTTGGTCTCATTAACAGGCCCCCGGTTCTTCATCTTCTTGCCCAGGGTGTGCCCATCCTAACCCCATCTGCTCATTTGTGCACACCAGAGCCTGCCGCTATTGGACTCCTCCATTTAATCATAAGAGACTGGTTTATCAAGGCCAGCTTGATGAAAAATAAAAAAAAATTTGGGCTAGAAAGGGAGAATAGTTTATTTCTTCTCTTTTTCCCCATTCTTTCCTTCGAGGGAAGTCATGTGGAATTGGCTTTTTCAGTAAGAGAGAAGAACATGTACTTATAGGCTTTGTGCCAGAGGTGTTGGAGTGGGGAGGAGTGTGGCCAAAGGGCTGTAGGAAGAGGCCCAGGGAGCTGAGCCTAGCCAGCTGAGAGAGACGGGCAGGTAGCCATTGCCTGTAGGTGGAGCGCTAGTCGTCAATGGAAACAAGCAGCCCAAAGAGAATGACTGGAGGGTGGGAATCACATGTAGAGGGGATTGCAGGAGGGCCTGTGGGAAGCCTGGCCGCCAGAGCCGTGAGGGAGGGCTGAGGCATAATGATTCAGCTCAGGCTCCTGAGCTGAGGATACAGGTTCCAACCCAGTCTACTCCTTATGAACTGTGTGTGACCTTGGCCATTGTCACTCCTCCCTGTGCTTTGACATCCTTATCTGTAAATGGAGATGATGATAATAGTACCTGCCTGGTAGGTTTGCTGAGCATGGCCTAAGTGAGATAACATATGCAAAGCACTCAGAACACTGAGTGCCCCACTGTTCCTATTATCACCCCAAGTATATGCAGAGATGTGAATGCAGAGAGCAGTTAGGAGCACAGGGGCGTGTAAGGAAGGGGAGACATCGAGGGGAGCCCCACATGTCACTTCCTGCTTCTCACCTCTTGTGTTACTCAGGCAGATTCTTAGTAGAAAATGTCCCTCTCCCAACAAAGTCACTTTTCCAACCCCCCAGAGTTGGGAGGTGGCACCTCCTTGAGCATCAGCCACCGGGTCCCTTTTGTGCAGATCTGGCTTTTTCCTTGTTGGATCCTGTTGGGTCTGGACATTCAGGCCCAGCCGGCAGAGAAGTGTGCCTCAGCTACTACCATCGCTGGATCGCAGCGGCCTCTCCTCAAAGAAGAAAAGTGGGGCCAGCAGCCTCTCCAGCCTTCTGCCGCACTCAAGGCCCAGCCCTCCTTGGGCTTTCATGTTGGAATTATGAAGTGCGATTTCCCTTGCACAGGGAAGCTTGAGCCAACCCAAGGCTGGGCTTATCTCTTTACTCAACAAAGTGTTTGTTTTAGGAAAATCAAAGCACGTTCTTTTTCTGCTTTCTTCAAAGGGAGGAGGAGCAAGGCTGGCTGCTGCCTGGGAGTAGGGCTGCCGAATGCAGAGGGGTCAGATGGGAGCCTCCCTCTCAGCCACTTCCCCTCTGGTGGTCGGCACGCCCCTTCCTTGGGCTAATCTGCATGGCGTTAGCTGGTGTCAGAGTACCTGAACTCAGGGCTGAGTCAGGCAGTCTTGGAATTTGGCTCTGGGAGGGGAGGCTGCCTGGAGTTCACCCCCCTCTAGAGACCTCCTCACTCCCAGGTCACAGCACTTCACCTCACCGCACTGCTGAAGCCCCTCCTCCTTCTCAAGCTCCTCCTTGCTGGGCCACCCTCTCTTGAGTCTGCAGTCGCTGCAGCTCCATCTGCAGATCTAGCTCTCGTGTCTGCAGGCGGACAGGCCTTGGCTTGACAGGAAAGTTATCCCTCCCCTCCCCCAGTTCCTGCTCCTTCCCTTTTTTTCTTCTTCCCATCCCAGACCCACCAGTCCTTAGGGCTGGCCCCACGTTCTCCCTCTCCCGCTCCAGGGAGGGTCAGAGCCCCTGTTCTCCCCCTACCTCCACTGAGGCTCAAGGTTTTTTGTTGCAGGCATTGAGGGAGCTGAGACCAGTTCTCCAAGGCCCGGCCACTGGGATGGAAACAAACAGCTTGTTGTCTGAGTTGCTTCTAGGGGCACTCAAAGTCCACTGGGTCACCCGGTGCCCTCAGCCAGGACTGGAACGAGGCCTGTGTGTGAACCCTGGAGAACCACTTGGGGCCTCCTGGAGCCGTTGAGTCATAGCTGGAGGGAGTAGTCGGTAACCCCTGGGGAGTGCTTTACAGGGTTCAACTCACTTTTCATAGCCAGAATCTTGCCATATAAATTGCAATACTCTTAGATTAAAAAAATATTTTTTAACATGGGCATTTTCAAACACACAAAAGCAGAGAGAATAGACCAGGTACCCCATTACCCAGATCCAAGAAGCCCTGACTTTCTGCTGCTGTTGTTTCCTCAGCCCCCACTCTCACCTCTCTGTTTGCAATATTCTTCTCTTTAATTTGCAGACAATTGATGACTTTTTAGATGAATTTCATACATGCCCTTCTGCCGCAGTAAGCATGCTGTTACCATGGTACCATCATGGCTTACTTTTTACACTCACGAGTCATGATCTGTTTTAACAGCGAGAGAGCTTAATTCAATGGCAAATTATTGTCAGAAAGAACAGCCCAACCTCACGCCAAATGGAAAATAGTTGTTTCAGGCAGGCATTTTCCTACACCCAATCAGACAACATTAAATAATTATATGACTGGCCAACGTACTCAGCTGCTTGGGGCTGGGGTGCTGGCTGGGGTCTGGCTCTACTCAGTGCCCTTTCCAAACCTTCCCCAGAAGCAGGGCCCCTCTGGATGAGAGGCTCTTCTGCAGCCTTGCTGTTTTGCGGAGAGGGCAGTTGAGGATGTCACCCACAATGTTATTCATCAGCTTTTTTAAAGGAATGACATGATAATTCCTGCAAAAGGCAGCTCTTGGAAAGGTTTATCTTTTCTGATGTCTGGTATGATCTTTTTCTCTGACAATGAGAACTAGGAACACTATTGTGTTTTGCTTTTTGCCTTGGCTACCAAGAAGCTTAGCAGTAAATTTAGAGCCCAATTACAGTAACTATTTCACCTATGGTTCCAGTTAACTTATCTCCCCCCATTTCTTCTATGTGATTTCCGATCTCTCATTTTTATCTTTATATGCCTAGGGTGCAGGGGTTTTATTGTACCCAGCCTTCATTTCATTTCTTTGAAATTAGGAGTGGCAGAAATTAAAAACAAAAGCAAACAGAATGTAATTGCCTCTTGCCCATGATCCTTGCCCATAGAGCCTTGTTTGTGAGAAATGCAGAGGAGAAAGTACTCCGCCCAGACCACAGGATCAGAAAGTGGTGGGGGAGGGACAGTCAGACCTTACATATAGGCAGTGCATTTACACTTTGTAATTTATGGTTTATACTTTTAAAAGGGCTTCCTCATATCTTGAGCAAATTGTCTCAATTTGTCCTTGATTTATTCTTTCAACAAATACTCTCTGCCCACTTTATCTACATCATAGTAGGCACTATGGTGGACAAATAAAGATAAAACACACACTTGTCCTTAGGGAATTTACAGTTTAATAGGGATATCAGACATGTTCATCTAATTATAACACAAGATAAAAAGTGTAAGAATGTTTTAGATAAAGTTTATCAGAGTTGAGACAAGGAGGGAGAAGTCATTTGAAGATGAGGAATGAGGATATATTGTGTATACAGTTGACATTTAAGCTGATTCTTGAAGGAGAGGGAAGCTGTAGACGTATGAACCTTTCATCTTGCTACAACCCCCTTTTACAGAGAATGAGATCAATATAGAGAGAGGAAGGAAATTTCCCCACATCACCAAGTTAGAAGTTATTCCTGATATAATCATCCCATCTGCCTCCCTGTGTTGAAGATTGGTTCCATGACTTTAGGGCAACTGAAACCCGGATTAAATTTGTTCTTAGGTGACAACCATCTAATTACTGGTATTTAAACTGCCAGAGCTCAAGTCTTGGTATTTAAGGCATACTTTTTTATTTGCAAGGGACAAAACACTATCTTGAGCTAACTTAGGTTAAAAACTTGGATTCATGGAGACTGCTGAAGTATCTCAGTCAATTTAAGGAAGGATCAGAGAACCAGGCCGTACATGCCACAAGAAGCCACTCTTTGTGTCTACGGTCTATGCTTCTATCAGGTGTCAACTTCACTCCCCATCCTCCCTCCCCTTATCCTTGTGATGTCTATGTAATAATATCCTCTATTTAATTCCTATATTATTAATTTGTGTCTTCTCTCTTTTTTCTCCGTCAGTCTTCTTAGAGGTTTGTCAGTTTTATTGATCTTTTAAAAGAACTGGTTTTTTGTTTCATCGATTTTTTTCTGTTGTTTTTCAGTTTTCAACTTCATTGATTTCTGCTTTTCTCTTTATTATTTCCTTCCTTCCATTTGCTTTGGGTTTAATTTGTTCTTCTTTTTCTAGGTTATTGAGATGGGAGCTTAGATTATTGAGACTTTTTTCTAATGTATCATTTTGTTCTATAAATTTCTCTCAAAGCACTGCTTTATCTGTGTCCCACAAATTTTGGTATGTTGTAGTTTCATTTTCATTCAGTTCATTGTCTTTTGTGATTTCCCTTGAGACTTCCTCTTTGATCTATGGATTATTTAGAAGTATGCTGTTTATTTTCCTGTTATCTTTCTGTTATTGATTTCTGGTTCGATTCCATTGTGGTTGGAGAACATGTGCTGTATGATTTCAATTCTTTTAAATTTTATGGCCCAGGATATGGTTTATCTTGGTATACATTCTTTTTTTTTTTTTTTTAAAGATTTTATTTATTTATTTTTTTCCCCCAAAGCCCCAGTAGATAGTTGTATGTCATAGATGCACATCCTTCCAGTTGCTGTATGTGGGACGCGGCCCCAGCATGGCTGGAGAAGTGGTGCGCACCCGGGATCCGAACCCAGGCTGCCAGCAGCAGAGCGCGTGCACTTAACTGCTAAGCCATGGGGCCGGCCCTCGGTATACATTCTGAGGGAACTTGAAAAGAATGTGTATTCTGCTTTTGTTGGGTAGAGTGTTCCATAAATTTCAATGAGACCTTTTTGGTGGATGGCGGTGTTAAGTTCTATATCCTTGCTGATTTTCTGTCTGGTTTTTCTATTAATTGTTGAGAGAGGGACACTGAAGTCACCAAGTATAACTGTGGATTTGTCTATTTTTTCCTTTCAGTTCCATCAGTTTTTGCTTCACATATTTTGCAGCTCTGTTGTTTGGTGCATACACATTTAGGATTGCTATGTCTCTCAGTGGATTAACCTTTTTATCATTGTATAATGTCCCTTTCTGCCTCTAGTAATTTTCTTTGCTCTGAAGTTTACCTTATATGACATTAATATAGCCACTTCTGCTTTCTTTTGATTAACATTTGCATGATATATCTTTTTCCATCTGTTTATTATAAATCTGCGCACATCATTGTATTTGAAGTGAGTTTGTTGTAAACAACATATAGTTGGGTCATGTTTTTTAATCCACTCTGCCAATATCTGGATTTTATTGGCGTACTTAGACCATTTACATTTAATGTAATTATTGACATATTCAGGCTTAAGTCTGTCATTTTATTTTTTGTTTTTCTACTTTTTCCTCTGTGTTTTTAGTTTCTCTGTTTTCCTTTACCTGCCTTCTTGTGGGTTACTTCAACATTTTTTTAGAATTCAATTTTGATGTATTCATAGTGTTTTTAAGTGTAACTCTTTGTATAGCTTTCTTAGTGGTTGCTCTAGATATTACATTGTATATATGTAACTGGGTTAGAAATAACACAGTCTTCCTCCTGTGTTTCTCCTTTGCTCTCACACTACTGCCAAATTCACAACACTTCTGATACCAGATATGTGGGGTTTTTTTCCACACCAAGCAATTCTGTAACACCAGCTGAGTGTCTTACAATTTAACTCAATTCAGACCCTAACTACCTGGCAATAGTGTCAGATCCCACATGTTAAAGGCTCAGTCCTGCAAGATTGCCCCCCGACTTTAGATGCCAATCGCAAGTAGTAAGTCACCAGGTTACCCACAACTTCTGTCTGACTTGGCGACAAATTGGAGGTTCCCATGATTTCCTCCCCCTTGGATTTGATTATTTGCTAGAACAGCTCACAGAACTCAAGGAAACACTTACTTATGTTTACCAGTTTATCAAAGAATGTAGTAAAGCATACAGATGAACAGCCAGATGAAGAGATACATTGGGTGAAGTCTGGGAGGGTCTTGAGTGCAGGAACTTCTGTCCCCATGGAGTTGGGGTGTGTCACACTCCTGGTGTTAACGTGTTCGCCAACCTGGAAGCTCTCCAAACCCCGTACTATTGGGCTTTTTATGGAGGCTTCGTCATATAGGCATGATCAATGATTAACTCCATTTCTGGCTCCTTTCACCTCTTTGGAAAGTGTGATGTGGGGCTGAAAATTCCAAGCTTCTAATCATGGCTTGGTCTTTCTTGTGACCATCCCGCATTCAGGCCAAGAGCCCATCCAGAGTCCCTTTATTAGAGCAAAATATGTTCCTAGTGCTCTTATCATTTAGGAATTTATAAGGGTTTCAGGAGTCCTGTACCAGGAACTGGGGTCAAAGACCAAATATTAGAACAAAAGATGCTTCTAGTGCTCTTATCACTTAGGAAATTAGAAGAGTTTCACAAGCTCTGTGCCAGGAACTGTGGGCAGAGACCAATATATATATTTTCTATTATCTCACAACAATTTATCAGAGTCTACTGGTATGGTCATTTTTATCAGTTTGAGTGAAGTGTAGAAACCTTGCCTCCCTTTACATCTCTTAACCCTCTCTCATTTATAATATAATTGTCTTAAATATTTTCTTTACATATATTTAGAATCACATCAGACAGAGTTGCAATTTTTGCTTCAATTGTCAAAAATTATTTAGAAGACTCAATAGGAAAAGATATTGTATTTCCCCATATTTTTACTCTTTCCATTGGGTTTCTTTCCTGGGAAGGCATCCTTCGGAGCCATGTTTTTTTTTTGTTTCTTTGTTTTTTAACAGACAGCCTGTCTGCTGGGGAAAGACTCGGCCCTCTCGTGTGCGCTCAGCAAAATAAATAAGTGACGAGTTCCTGGTGTTCCAACATTCCTTCTTTTATCCTTTCGTTTTTGTTTGGAGAACGTCCTTTAGCCATTCTTTTGGGTAGGACTGTTGTTGGAAAATTTTTAGTTTTCCTTCATCTGAGGCTATCTTGGTTTCCTTTTCATTTCAGAAGGATATTTTTCTAGATACAGAATTCTGGGTTGACAATTCTTTCCTTTCTGTACTTGAAAAATATTGTGCCACTTCTTCATGACATTCATGATTTCTGGTGAGAAATCCACTGCCATTTTAATTGTTTCCCCACACTGTGTATGGTGCCATTCCTCTCTGTGGAAACTTTTCTTTGTTTTTAGTATTCAGGAGTTTTTCTATGATGTGTCTTGGTGTGGATTTCTTTGGATTTCTCCTATTAGAGTTTGCTCAGGTTCTTGAGTCTGTATGTTTCTGCCTTTTGCCAAATTTGGGAAGTTTTCAGGCATTATTTCTTCAAGTACTCTTTCAGCCCTGCCCTCTTTCTCCTCTCCTTTCAGGACTCTGATAACTTGAATGTTAGATATTTTTTGTTATAATCCCACATGTCCCTGAGGCTCTATTCATGTTTTTTCCAGCATATTTTTCTCTCTATTGTTAATATTGGGTATTTTTTATAGTTTTATCTTCAAGTTCACTGATGCTTTTCTCTGTCCCCTCTATTCTGCTGTTGTACCCACCAATTAAGTTTTTATTGAAGTTATTGTATTTTTCAGTTCTAAAATTTCATTTTGGTTCTTTTTTATATCTTCTACTTCTTTGATGAGATTTTCTATTTTTTCATTTGTCTCAAGCATGTTTATAAATTGCTCATTGATGAATTTTTGTGATGGCTGCTTTAAAATCTCTGTCAGATAATTCTACAATCTGGATTATGTTGGTGTTTATTGATTGTCTTTTTTCATTCGAATTGTTTTCATGGTTCTTGGCATATTGAGTGATTTTCAATTGAAACTCGGACATTTTGGGTATTATGTTATGAGACTCTGATTCTTATTTAAAGCTTCTATTTCAGCTTTTTAAAAACACTATTCTAGCTTGCTCCTGCCCGGGGAGAGTAAGCTCTGGGTCACTCACTGGACCTCCAGTGACACCTGAGGGAGCTCCTCACTGCTGCCGGGCCACATAGGGTTTCCTCATGAGGCCTGCACTGGAACTTCCTGGCTGGCAGGGGTGAGCATGTTTTGTTTCTCCTTCCCACATGGCCTCCACTGACACTAGGGGAGGCGGGTGTAGTGATTTCATTACTGCTGGGTGGCTGTGAGTCCTGGCTTTCCACTAGGTCTCCTCTGACACAAATTCTGCAGGGTTGGGGCACCCCATTATTTCCATGTGGACTTGAAGTCCAGGTCCCCTTTGGTCTCCACCTACACCTGAAGGAAAGCAAATTATGCCTGCCTGGTGGGGATGAAGCTCCCAGCTCCATTCTTGACCTTGTCTGACTGTACCAAGCCAGGGCACTGGGGGCGTCTCATTAAAGCCTGATGAGGGGGGTGAAGAGTAGCTCCCCACTAGCCTTTCCTGTGGTGTCTGGCTGGGGTAGAGTGGTGATTGTCTACAGGTTTTCTGTCTTGCTAGGCCCCCCTTTCCTAGTTCTTTGGCCAAAGAGAGTAGGCTTTTGTTGGGAGTTTGTCTGCTGTCTGGTCTGTTTGCCATATTTTTCAGCTCCAAGTCTGGTATATACGAGGCAAAAACTGCTTGGTAATCAGTTTATTGAGGGCTGCACAGATGGTGAGTGCAGGGCTGGGCTTTGAACCTGCACCTGATTTCAAAGATTCTACTGAGACGCTAACTATTGAGTTCTTCTGTCTGGGAGGCCTGGCAGGCTGCTGGCTTGTTGATGGGTCATTAAATGAAAGAGTTATGTGGTTTGGCCAGAATCTTACTTGCTGTGGTTGTTAGTGTTTTTCAAGACTCCCACTGACCCAGGAGGGTACTTGGGGACAATTCTTAGAGAGTCAGTGTTGGGCCCAGGATCTCAGTGCCATCTGTCCCTTTTTTCCAGTCTCCAAACCGGAACAAGTCCTTTTCTTTACAAAGAGTCTGTCCTATCTGCCTGCCTCATAGGAACTTGGATTTGTGTAAAAGTTTGGCCAGGTTAGTACCTGACTTTGTTTGTAACTCCGAGTCTCTAAATTGGAAAAGAAAATCTTCCTCAGTCTCAGGAGCACTCTCGCTGCGCCTGTGAATGCCTGTAAAAGGAGGTTTTCCGCTGTCATAAGCTTGCTGGGTCTTTAGCTCAGGAGGCCTGGTTTAAAAACAAACATCTAGCATTTGTCTTGGACCTTAACCAACTCCACCAATCTGACATTCTCTTTAAAGTGCAGTTGTGACTCCAAAGTATGTGGTGAAGAAAAAAAAAGGAACAGCCTTCATGCATCACATCTCTGTCCCTGGCTGCAGCTGAAAGCTCACTTTTAATGCTGTTGCCTGTGTGGGGCCTGCTTCTACTGGGGAAGCAGCTTGGGCTGGGGGAAGGTGAGCGCTGAGTGTCAAAGAGATAGAGTTCAGAGTTTATATATATAAATATTACAGCTGTATGCAAACAAATATGCGGCTGATCCCTGACTCCCACCCCTATGTTTTAGAAACTGTGATGAACCTACTGGCAGAAGGAATGCATTGAACTTGAGATGATTAAGGGCAAGGGCTTTGGAATCAGAGACACGTGAGTTCAGTCTTGGCTTCTCCACTTGTACTTGTGTGACTTCTAAAAGGCTCTTTAACCTCTTTGATCTTCAACTTCCTCAGCTGTGAAGTGGGGATAACAGCACCTGACTCTCAGGGATGCTGTTGTGAGGATGACTTTAGATGACACAGGGAAGATGCCCGCTACATAGTAAGCACTCTGTAAATGTCCACAACTCATGAGGTGATCAAAATGCAACTTCATATTTTTGTGTGTCTCATCATCCCTTTAAAATTATTCGGTGGGTCCAATCTTCCCTTGCTCTAGAAGGAAACTCCAGCACGTACATCTTACCAACACATTAAGTCCCTAATAGCCTCAATTTAGACACTTCAATGCCCGGTTGAAGAGACTAATCAAAATTCTGAACTAGATTTAAGGTTAAATCTCCTCCTCTTCTTTGGCTCAGGTAAGCCTCAGGTGGGATCCCCCTGGAGCCAGCTGTGGGAGGGAAGTGGGGGATGTGCTTGGCTTTTCTATTTTTCAGCCCTTTCTTTTCATCTTCCTTCCTCCATGGATGGGAAGGTGGGAGGGGTGGTGGTGGTGAGAAAAGGTAGGGAGGAAAGAGGACATAGGAAAGGCCCTTCTTGACTGGAAATGTCCCAAAGTAGCTTTGTGCTTTGGGTGTGTAGAGCACTCTCTACTTGTGGGCACTTTGGTGGGTTCTTCAGACATTCTCAACACACTCCCTTCACAGACCCCTTGACCCAGTGGCTGTGTTTTTAATCTATAGGGATGGTTTCCTAAAGGAAACCTAGACATATTATTTCCTTTTTTTTTTGAAAACATTGAACCCTTCTGATTACTTCTTTGGGATTATGCTAAAAGTATAGGTTTATTCAGTGAAAACCAAAACCACAAAAATTGCAGTCAAAACAGCCCCATGATGTGATGGATGAAAATGGAAAATGCTGTGTTAAAATCATAGTGAAATTTTGCACAGTGCATTGCAAATAAAGGACAACACTGAAGGTGTTGTGAGATGTCACTGAACATGACTGTGAGATGTCATGTATTGCAAGGTAATATTCATCATATCTATTGACCTATGTCTCCAGACATATGGCCCCATGAGGGTGGTTGCTTTCAACTCCTCCTATAGCCCCAGCAGTCCTACAGTGGCCTCTATCCTCTTGTGGCTGGGGCCCCTCTGCCACTTAGGTGAAGCCCGTTGACAGAATTTCTAAGATACCTCCATCAGCCTCTCTCTCTCCTGGGCTAATATCTCAATGCTTGGGATACGCTATGCACCCTCTGCCCTGACAAACTGGGGAAGTGGATTGATTTCCACGTGACCACCTCTGATGTCACCAAGATGGTGACATAGGAGGCTCCTGCTTTTCCCTCCTCCCATGGGCACACTGAATATACAACTACACATGGATCAATTTCCTCTGCGAGAAATCCAGAAACTAGTTGAGTGACTCCTACACATCAGGTGACTTAGAAAATTCCCACATTGAAATGGATAGGAAAGGCTGAGACACCCTCTTGCCATAAACTCCACCCCCAGAATGGTGCCTTATAATTGGGAAGCAACCCCCAACTCCCAGCTTCTCCCTGAGGAGTGAAGGGTTTGCACCACACATCTAACATTCCAACTTTTGGAACTGTCACCCGAGGGATGAGTCCCCAAATAACCCAGCTCTGAGAGCCAATGGGGCTTGCATTCAGAAGCCCCACAGGACTATAGTAAACAAAGAGGGAGTTGTTAAATGGGCACACAAACACTCCCTGTGGCTATCCCCCTAGACTCAGTGCAGAGAGAGAAGACAAAAATGCCCATCTCCCAGTTTCTCCCTGGAAGAGATTTGACTGCATACTTTCCCAGCTGCTGCCTGAGGTTCTGGCTTCTAATCAGCCTGCACCTGGGAGCTGACTGAGATCCTCCTGGGAGCTTGAAAAAGCTGGCATGCACATCACCCATCACTTACCCCCAGCTCGCTCCAACAGTAAAAACAAGTCTCCAGCTTCTCCCTGGAAGGAGCTTGTCAACATATCTAGCACCCCAACTGCTACAGCTTCCATCTGAGGGACTGGAGCCCAAATCACCTAGCTCTGGGGATTGATGGTGC